ACTACACGTGTCAAACATCTGACGGCCAAGGGTCACCTTAATCGGGGTGGCACTGGCATACGCATGTGCACCACATTAAATGCGGTGGTTGGACACGACGCCGCATTAAATGTGGTGGTTGTCTGTCTCCAAAGGGAATCTTCGCTGATTGTGCTGTAGCCGAAGGCTACTCACGTGCCGAGGGCGTCTGTTAGCCGAGGGTGTATAGTAGCCGAAGGCTCCTATTTTCTGCCTTTTTCTCTCAGTGACTTTGTATGCTCAAATCTTGTTGTCCTGTGGAATTTGGAGACTTCGGCCATAGGGTCGAAGGCACCCCTATGTGTACCGTGGGCTTCTCAACACTTGGGCCGCCGTGTTTGGGCTTTGTCTGCTCATTGGGCTTGAGGGGCCTGAGTAGAAGAAGTAAGAGTTTATGGGCCGGGGCCCCTGGGCCATATACTCCATCACGATAATTGTGTTAAACGAGTTCTTTGTCCATGTCAAGTCCACTTTACCAATATAGTTTAAAATATGTGGACCATCATATAGAATATCCATCAGTTAAAAGTGTGTTCTATGTCTAAAGTCCGACATACACATCCATAACCTTTCTAATGCATCGTGTAATTTGAAAAGTAGGTAATATTCATTTAGGAGTCACCTCAATGCATGAATATTGATCATTGGGAGTAAGGATGGTAATGGGGGCGGGGACTCGTGGGGAACCGCCCCGCGGGGGAAGGATGGGGTGGGGCTTGGGGCGGGGTGGGGACGTGGATGGGTGAGATATTTTTACGCCGTTAAAATATGGGGCGGGGGACGGGAATAGCTACCCCCGCCCCGTCCCCGCCCCGTCCCCCGTTATAAATATATACTCAAACATATATATACACATATATAAATAATGTACAAACATATTAAATTAAATTATATGTAGTATATAGCAAACGCGTATACATATACATATATACATACATAATTGTATACGGTTTAGTCATGGTTAATGAATTAATACATATTATACTAGAATAATAATAAGCTAGTAATGATTAAAAATATTTATCATAAATGTTATATGAGTTTTAAGAGTGAGTAAATAATTAAATACACACACACATTTAAATGTAATATGTAATTAATGGTATTATAATTGTTGAGGATTTTGAAACAACGTACATGATGATAATATATTTACTTATATCTTTACTTTAACTGTCTTCGATTCACAAAACTTACTAAAATTGAAGAATTATTAAAATTGGTGGTATTAACTTTTAACAAACACAATACTCCAGGGTTGCATATGTGTGTGTATAATATCTGCATTGTTTAGATATATATAGATTTAGGATCAAATGAGAACAATGCTTGATGTGAGAACGTGCGAACACCACATATATCCCCAATGTGACGCATAATGGGCTTGCACAATGCACTTTTTCATACCAAGCATAATATTTGTAAAAGTGTCACCGTGATTATTTATATTAGCTTGTATTGAGCAAAGTCCAAATGTGCACTAGAAGGGAACTATTGTGTATCACATTGGATTAAATGTGAGTGTTCTCACGTTCTCACCTTAAGCATCATTCTCATTGGAACCGCACCACGTATATTTATAATGGATTAAAGTATATGTAAATACGATAAATTAAAGGGAAAATCGCACTTCCAGTCCCTGAAATAGTCACAAAAATGAAATGTCGGACCCATATTCCCAAGTTTGTAAATGTCGTCCCTCAATTGTCCTTAATGCTATAAATGTGGCCCTTTCAGGGGTGAAATATACAATGTGGGCGAGATTACATTTCACCCCTTAAAGAACCACATTTACAACAATTTGGACAATTAAAGGGTGACATTTACAGTATCAGAAATACGGGTCTGACATTTCATTTTCGTGACTATTTCAGGAACTAAGAATACGATTTTCCCTATATGGGGACACCCGCGGGCACCCGTGGGGGACAACGGGGTGGGGCGGGTGACGTGCACTTTGTCGTGTGTGCACTCAAAATAAATTTCAATACGACACTTATACGTAGTATAGCGTAGTAGAGTTCGTATCCACAGGGAAAGGAATACTTTTCTTTTTATAGAACTAGTTATAAAAGGGGGTTTTGGGGATTTTTTTTATTTAATTAATTAAACACAAAGATGAACGACTTATGTGATTTAATTCAAAGATAAAAAGGACTTGGCATTGCTACTTTCCACTTGTTGATATATTTTAGTCGATCATTGTTATATCTATAACTTATCTCTTCTCGAATACTCAATCGAGGAGTATATCCCATTCATCGAGCATAGTTATTAACAACGACCGTTCATTAATAACCCTTACTATTAGCCAAGTATAGAACAACGCCATATACCGACTTGATAGTAGCATTTAATCGCTTAACTCCTTGATGAAATCAATTGAGATCGATAACCTCAACACAACGGTTTCGGTTTAACCAACACAATTAATTCCTCTTAAGTTTATTAACCACGACCGTGCATTAATAGACCGAAGTTACTTACTTGTGAAACCATCAACGATTAACCATCGGTTCGTTGATCGTTTCTAGTAATAATTAATATATGAAACAAAACTAGTTGATCCTTTAAGTAATGTTCAAAATATTAATATGAAATATGAATAGGAATTAATTAATACTCAAGGAAGAAGATTAAAGAAGATGAATCCTACTATAGTTAATATCAAGATGTTAACTAATTGTCATCTTAGTAACACTTCCCAATATTAACATAGAGGAAGGAATAGCTATTACTAAGACCAATGTCAAGATGTTAACTAATTGTCATCTTAGCAACACTCCCCAACATTGATATAGAAATAGTATTTAAAAGAAGAATTAATATTCAAGAAAAGAAGTTAAGAAAATAACTCACAACTTTAATAATCAACAAGCTTCAAGAGCAACACCAAGATATGGAAGTTTAGCTCCTCATTTGGAGACTAAACATGCTAAGAGAAATATAAAGAAATGCTATTCTAAACTGAGCTTAAGAGTATAAAGGAATTGGTGATCTTATTGTGAAGGAAAAGGGGTGTATTTATAGGTGTTTGGAGGTAGCAGGGTGGTGTACCCGACCGGGTATATAGGGTACTCGATCGGGTATTTTAGGCAGTTTCCCGGAAAATCACTTTTCTAGACATACCCTATCGGGTATGAAGGCATACCCGATCGGGTATGAGTCAAATCTTCAAAATCCTGCACGTTTTTTTGTCTCTCCATATCTCTCCAGATTCTGATTTTGACACCCGAATCAACTCAATACCCGATCGGGTATTGCCTATAACCGACCGGGTATATGAAATACTTTCTCAATCTTCTTTTTATCTTGTCCCCTTGCACTTTCCTTGATCTTTTGGGGTCCAATCTTGATCCTTTGGATGATCTTGACCTGTTTTAAGCTCAGAATAATCCTAATCTAAACAAATTACATTTATATAGGAAAATAAACTAATTACACCAAAAGTGTGTAATTTTCCCAACAACAACAAATAAAACTAGTTAAAATAGAAATAATAAATAATAAAAATACAACTCTATCAGGCGGGGATGGGGCGGGGATGGAAGTAACGGGGATGGGGCGGGGATGGGGGGAACTTTTTAGACATGGGGCGGGGGATGGGGGAGTGTACCCCGCCCCAAACCCGCCCCATGCCATCCCTAATTGGGAGTTGGCGAGTTGCTTTTTAAAATTAACTCATTGTATCTTGCGGACATATAAACTTTAGGTGTTCAAATTTACTTTACTATTATTTTTGAATACTAATACTAGGGGTGAGCAAACGGGTACTGAAACCGCGGGTCGGGTCGGATAATACAGGTTTGGGGCGGGTTAGGGTCGGGTCCTAATGTTAGAAAATCCAAACGGTTTAGGGCTGGGTGGGTTCCGAAAAACTTAGGAACCGAACGGGTCTTAAAATTTGAAAAAACAGGTACCCGGACTGAACCGTTTAAAAATATTATTTTAATAAGCTCTAAAATATTTAATACTAGTATAATATAATATACTAACAACACACAAAAGCTCTTCATGTTCTTGTGTTTAGACAAAGACATCCAATTAACGAAACTTCTCAGTCTATTAAAACTAGTTTCCAAGTCCGTATAATTAAACTTCTAAACTATTTTCCTCTATTCTCTATTCCAAGTGCATCAAACTTTCTTTCTTTAATATTTTTTGTAAACAAAGACTCTTACTCAATGAAGTGCGACATATTACTTTAATTGTCTTAATTTTACTTATACTTGGAGATTTAATAAGTTTTAAATTGTTTTTATAGACAAATATGTATAGTAACTAGTTTGATTTCTTATGAATTTATATATGGTTCTATCTTTTTAATTGGTTTAGGAATGATGATTATAGAAGATTTGACAAATATGCATAGTAAAAGTTGATTGTGTGTTGTTTAGTTTATAGAAGATTTGTAGTTCAATATTTTGTTAACTAATTTAATAAGTTGTCTTATTCTTTTATTTTGAACAAATACTATATTATGGTTATATCTATATGTAATTAATTTGACAATTCTATAACTGAAACTATGCTTGCATAGTCGGGGCGGGTAAGGTTCGATTCCTATTTTGAAAATTGGTATACCCGAACCGAACCTTCCCGCTAAATGGAACCGGTGGTTCTTGAAAATTTATCGATTACCCGAACCGACGCAGACCGTGCCACCCCTAACTAATAAATACTGTTTGATGCAATAGTTCAACACATGTAACTTCTTCAACAAAAAATAAAAACATAATGTTCTAACACCAAGTCTACACTTGTATCTTTGCACTCGATCTTCAAGCGTTCTGGTGTACATTAGTAACCTCTAATTAAAGAAGTATATTTTTGTATTGGGGGTATGAGATCCGAGAGTGGTAGTTATTCAAATCTTGAAAATACTTTTTTTAAAGGAAAAATATTAATTATTATTAATCAGATCATAGTTTAAAGAGGAAAAAATACAAGGATGATTAAAAAGCCAAATGTAGCGATCATGCATAGAACAAGTGACTCTCGCTAATTGGTGAGACACCCGGTCCGTAGAGCGCTTCACATGAGAAAATGAGATGCTAGTGAAACTAGCCGAGATATGTCCACATCCACTCCCGAGTTAATACTTTGAATAACTTGTTGAGCATCGGACTCCACACGTCAACAAAATCCCATCAAGCTTCTTTTAACCAACTAAGAGCCTCTCTTATTGATAAAGCTTCTGCTAATCTGCTATTGACGGAGAGCATCCTTGAGACCATTTGGAGTGGTGTGAGAGCCGAAATGTCAAAAATGGACTCTGTCCATATGAAAACAATGTTTTGAGTCCTATTTCTCTGCATTCCAACATCGTCAATAAAATACGATCAGGAAAAAAAACATCGTAAAAAAAATACACTCTGCATATTCTTTTACATATCAATTTAGTAAAACATTAATTAAATTATTACAAGTAATGTTTTCGTTTAAATTTTTTTCCTCTGAATAATTATGAAATAAAAAAAATACACATTTTGATGTAAAAATAAATAAATTTCATTAATGTTTTTTAACATTTTTTGGTTAACAAAATATGAATTTAGTTCAAGTAAAGTTTGATTGTTGAATATGAAGTTATTTGTGGAGGATCCATGAATTAAAATTTTGTATTTCTTGTTATTTTAGGTTCAAGAAAATTTCAATAGTTATAACTTTAGATTTTTTTTTTTCATTTTATATATTACATATTGGTGTCATATGAACGATCATAAAAATTCATGAATTTTGATATATATTTTGAAAACTTTGGATAAAAAATAAAAAAGTTATAAGAGTTTTAAGAAAATTGTGATTTAGCATCACGGCAAACCCAACTTGGTTGTTTTCTTTTCCCTTTTCTTTCCACCCTCTTAACACACCTTATATATTTAACATCATCTATCCACTTACCCACTTTTAAAAAGTTTGAAGCGGTCGGTTAATCCCTAGGTGTTTCTTCCGGCGGTGACGACAGTCACCTGGTCCGGTCTTCCTTCTTGTAGCAGTGAGTGATCTAGAAGCAGTTTTCAACGGCGCAGCGAGTTTCCGAACATCACTAAGGGTACAATTTGGGTAGGGTTGTGTGTGGACTCAATTATCAATCGATGAGGGCGATTTCCAAGCCACCAATCGAGAACAAGGTGATGGCCGGAGAGCAGCGGCAAAACAGGAGGGCTGATCGGGAAGAGTAGATGCTCCATCGGAGATGGCTGGGCAGTGAGCACGACGAATAAGAGGCAGGGCAAGAGGAATCCACTCTGATTGGTTGATGCTTCAATCCACTCCGCGTCAACAATCATAGCGGTGATCCGGCCTCCTCCTGAACCACCGCCGGGGGTTGAATGAGGTGCTAGAGTTCAAGATTTTATTTTGCTTCTTTAGATTTCTTCATGTTTCACTTTCATTTGGATCTTTACTCTGTTTTGGTTGTGCCGTGTTTTTCTGGCAAGAAAATTCTAGAACCTAGGACAGGTGATGAGAAGTCTGGTTTGCAAGTCATTGGCTCAGTTAAGCCAAGAGCGGGATCAGCGAATCTAATTGCTTCTACGGAGGTGATTGATTCCAAGTTTGGTTCTAGGGCGGACGACAGACAGAAGACTTATTGTCATTTTGTAACCTGCTTATGTTCTGTTATCATAATTTAAGCCATCTTCTTCCCAAAAAATCCACTTACCCAATTTTAACCTACCACACTACACACCATTAGGAGTCCAAAATCTTCAAATTTAACATTTTGGACTCCTAAAACCTTACGAGTACAACTAGCCTCAGGCCCCGGCTTACCCCTCCTGCTACAAAAGAACCAACCTTGTTACGAACTAGCAACCCCAAGTCACTACCTTCCCTCCGGTCAGCTCCAGCTCCATGAGCTTCCCCGTCGCTGCGCCGAATTGTGAACACCCTCCTCGGCCCTACTCCACCCCTCCAACATTGCTTTTGCGTCTGCCACAATGCAGCTAACTGGTATAGTTTTCTGCTCCCATACCTTAGCATTTCTTGCTCGCCATATACTCCAAAAGGCCATCACAAACATTCTGTCATGATCAACTTTCCTTGTGCTCAAGCATTTAGCCACCCAATCCACGAAGCTATCCCCCACGCTAACCGGAAGGCTCCTGTCATTGAACAATTCTCGAATCAAGTCTCTGTCCCACTCCATCCTATCATTCAGAATCAGCCCTGCCACCGTAGCATCTTCTAGTCCCTGAACCACATCTTGAAAACACTTAAATAGTTAAAATAATGTAAAACTAGAATTTTAGTAACAACCATGTTACGGAAAGAGATGTTCAATATGAAATATAGAACCCTCTTTTTTTTATTGCTTGCACTATTATGTAAAACAATTCTAGCCTCCTAGGTGGATTTTTCCATAAATTTTGTGAGCATGTCCTTCATTAAGTGTAGATTATCTAAAGAAAATTTGCTTAGCATTCACTCGTGAAATCAGTTAAATGAGGAATTGAAAAACTGTAGATTTTTTATATAAACTCAATTTTAATTTTAAGTAATACTCTCTCCGTCCCATTAATATTGTCTCATCTTTGCTTTCCGGTCCATCCCACTAAGATGATCTCATACCAAATTTGATAAAGTTTGTGTAGTTCTAAATTATTCTTATTTTATTCTTACTTTATAATTCAATATCAACCATATTAACTCATTTTTCTTAATAACAGTACGTCAGTACCACATTTTCATGTCCCAATATCAGTGGGACGGGAATAATAATATACTACGTATTTATATAACAATATTTTGTCATAACTTAAATCGAGTATATGCAGTTTTTCTTGAAAGAATGTAATTTCCAGTTTTCCACATAAACTAATAAACTATTATAGATTATTCCCTTCTCCCAATGATCGTATCCCTTCCTTTTAGGCTTTTTGCAACTTTATGGGTAAAAAGTGAAAATTTATTCTTTTCAACTCATAGGGTGACAAAGGGGTGTTTGGATTTGATTCTTAAAACTGTTTCTGCTCCTTCAGGGAGCAGAAGCAGAAGTTGGAGTGTTTGCGTGAAAGTTCAGAAGTGATTCTAGTGCTCTAATTTACTCATAAATCAATTTTTTAGAAGCTGAGAAAGATCAGCTTCTGAAAACTGATTCTGATTCTGCTTCTATTTTAAAAAAGAAGCAGAATAAGAATCACTTCCAAACACCACCAAAGTTGATGAATGACACGCGGGAGATTTGACACCTCTTTCACCCCCGACGTCTAGTAGAAGGAATGCATCGAGAAAGGAGAAAAGGTTACGCAGAAGAGAAAAGAGTCTTGGGACTAGTGGTGGACTCAGGCCCGGTTCAGTCCTGGGCCCGGCCGGGCCTCAGTTCATGAAAGGGGAGGCCCGGAACCGGCCCGGGTAACCCCCGGGTCCGGGTCGGGCCGGGCCGGGCCTCGGTTCAATTTAATTTTTTTTTGGGTTTTTGCTAATTAACCCCCAACCCTCCCCCTCACCCCCAAACCACCTCAAATGGCCCAAAATACCCAGCCCAACCCAAAAACTTAAAAAAAATAAAAAATAAAAAAACAGAAAAAATAAATAAATTGGCTCGGACCGGGCCCGAACCGGCCGGGACGGTTCACCTTTTGAGGGGCCCAAGCCTGGCCCGGAACCCCAGCGGGTCGGGCCTACCCGGACCGGTCTCTGACCGGGCCGACGGTTCGGGTCGGTTCAAACAGTGACCGGGTCGGGCCGGTTCTGGGGCGGGCCGCCCGGCCCGAGTCCACCCCTACTTGGGACCTAGGGTGAAAACCTTTTTTTGTTAAAAATTATACGGAGTAATATTTTTTATTTGTATTTCAACTTTTACATTAAATACATCAAAGTTTATAATTTTTTATAATATTTTATATGGCATCAATATCAATATTACATATATAAAATTTAAAAAAAAATCAAAACTTTCATTTGTTGGATTTATTAGCCCCAACATTTCTCTAAATTGATCCAGTGCTAAACTTTAGATTTCCTAATTATTTTTCTATATCTTTCAACTTTAAAAAAAACGGTTTCAAATAACAAAAAAAAAAAGTAAATTCTAATTTTTTTATTTTTACATTCAAATGTTTGATTGTTTAATCACAATTATTCGCAAAAAAATGACCAAAAATGATGCTTTATAACAAAAATAAGGATTTAATTAATAAATAAAAAACTGTATGCCTGATGGATGAATATGAATATGTCGAGAATGTTTTTAATTAGATTTATTTCATATCAAACTGGATCAGACCGGATCAGATTAAACTCATCTATTAGACCAGAGCAGGAAATATTAGTCCAATTAAAAATATATTCTCACTCAGCATTGTTGCAACGAGTCTTACCAAACATGCCCTTGAACGCTTGTGTGTATTCTCAAAGGGAGAAAGCAGTTACCAATCTATGCCACATGCCCTGAATGCAGGGCTTAGAAATTAGAAACTTCCTACCCCGGCGCCATTCACAGCATCTTCGCCTCCGTTCTGCTACCCTTTTCTCCTCTTTCTACCCGCCACCCCCATCTCAACTTAGCCTCAATTCCAGAAGCAGCGGAAATCATAGCGGAGCGTGGCAGGTTTTAATTTTTCAGATGATCTGCTGTTCCTTGGAACGGTGGCGATTGAGCTTAGTTTTTGATTGAGGAGATTATTGCAGTGTTACTAGAGGGTTGGATTTTCCACTTCTGTGATGGGAATGATATTGCCTCACAATGATGTCCCCCGCTTTTCGCATTTCTTTCTCGCCATTCTTTTCGCGTTTGCCAGCTATGCCGCCAGGTTCCTCCTCGACAAATTCATCTTTAGTGTAAGCCTATTTCCTTGCGTATCTTCTGTAGATGCTTATTACGAGAAATGGATGCTTTCTTGATGAGCTTCACTTTCGTAATTCATTTATTAATTCAATCATTTCGTTAAATTTATGTGGAATTATTGCAAGAATTGCAGTTCTAACTAATTTTAGTTAATCAATTGGCACTATAACTTTCATAATACCAACTCAGTTCGTTGGGATTTAGGTGATGATGACTTATTTATAATAAGTTCATTCATTTTTCTTGAAAACTGAAGTTCAGTTCATTGTTTACCTATTAATTGTGTGGAGTTGATGAAAATATGAAGCTTGAATATCTTGCGACTCTTGCAAGATTACCTGCTTCTTGAGAGTGATTGTAAACTGTAAAAGTTATCCTTGCGAACAAATGAATTTGTAATCAAACCAAATCACTTTGCAATCATACCTTCTTATTGAGTGTAGGGAACTTGGTAAGATTTTTATGCTATTTATTTCATACAACCGATTAACTGTTCAAACTACCAATTAGAAGCATTACTAAGGGACGTAAGGTTTATAATTATATTTTAATCATGTTAATATATCAGCTTTGCATAACAATTGCTATAGTCAAACCGCCAAACCAGATTCACTTTTCAGATGCATCCGTTTTATCAGTTCTTACAGTTGTTGACATCTTTACCAGAGGCTTTCGATTTGGCTTGTGAGAAATGGATCTATGAATGGGAGGATGAACCAGGCTACAAGAGCCAAAGTTGCAAAATGCTCTGAATCAATGTGGAAATTAACATACTATGCCACTGTTGAGTTTTGGGTCCTAAGAGCCATCTATGATCAGCCCTGGTTTCTAGACAATAAGCAGTATATCAGAGGCTGGCCAAATCATGATCTTCAGTGAGTGTACTACCTCTTGCACACATTTTACCCTTATTAATCTTTTATTCTGGACAAGTAGACAATGAATATCTAGTGTACAACGATTGTTTATTGTGATATCAGATTATCGGGAGGAGTCTCCCTATGGAAATAATTTAAATCAATGCATCCACCATTTTCTTGATAGACTGCTTTAACATTTTATTTCTTATTTATGTATGCAAGAGCCGATGAAAAAGATGTGGTCTTTATATGACTTAACTTTCATAACCCTTTTGGTCTTTTCTCACATACTCCGTATGTAAGACTTCATTTTTTTTTGTTTGTTTATGAAACATCATTGGGTTTTAAGATGCTGCATTTTATGTCTCAGGCCTGCCATTGCACTTGTGTATATGTGCCAATGTGGTTTCTATATGTATAGCATTGCTGCTCTCCTTTTCTGGGAAACTCGACGTAAAGACTTTTCTGTAATGATGTCTCATCATATAATTACTGTCATGCTTATTTCAGGCTCATACATGACAAGGTAATCTTCTACTCGCTTCACAAGTTTTTAGGCTGATTGTGTTGGGATTGTTGAAATCCAGAGTTGTGTACTAACTAAAGATTTAATTAGAAGAGATTGAGATTCTATGAAACACATATATATTTATGAGACACACATTATTATGGAGTTACTTCGTATTGATATTGATAAATGCTTCTCCGAGCAATCAAGATTTAGATGGCTTATAGACCGCTTCCTTAGGCTGATTGTGTTGGGATTGTTGAAATCCAGAGTCTTGTACTAACTAAAGATTTAATTAGTACATAAAATTTTCCACTCAGTCCTCGACTTTAATGTTTTTCAATTTTACTGTACAGCTCTGAATTTCTTGTTACTTTTGGCCCTTTCGTTTACGTATCCTGCCAATTTTTAGTTGATCTTTTGCTGCATATATGATCGTAAGGACCGCAAGTGTCAAGAAATTCGTAATCTCACACTCCCTCGCATAGTCACAAGAAATAATAGTTAAGGACCAAAAGTGAAAATGGCCTAATACATGTGTGACCAAAAGTGGAATGTTTTCTTTTTTAAAATACTTCTATCTACAAGATGCCTGAAAGAGTGAATGTATGGTATGTTGATTACAAAGCACCATTTTCACAGGTTCTTTCGACCTGGAGCAGTTGTTTTAGCACTTCATGATGCCAGTGATGTCTTTATGGAAGCTGCAAAAGTGTTAAAATATGCCGGGAAGGAATTTGGAGCCAGCTTATTCTTTGGACTGTTTGCAATTTCTTGGCTTGTTCTACGGCTAGTTATTTTCCCATTTTGGGTCATATGGTCTTCAAGGTATGTCTGTTGTCAGGGACAGCGTAATCTTTGTTTTGAATGCTACATTCGTCATTTGGTTTTAATATTCCCCTAATGTCCTTGAAACTCTAAATTGCATTTTTGTCTGTATTTGCAGTTATTACATGATAGAGGTGTTGAGGCTGTCAGAGGCGTCTCACGTGTTACTATACTATGCCTTCAATACTATGTTAATAACCCTCCTTGTCTTCCACATCTACTGGTGGATTCTCATATGTTCAATGATCATAAGACAGCTGAAAAATAGAGGACATGTCGGAGAAGATATACGATCTGGTAAATTTATAGGACTAACTTACACATCATATCATCATTCCTTCTTTGGCATCAATCTGTATATGTTTTGACTGCCATTTTGGTAGTTGGTGTCTTAAAAGTGACTGTTCCTAAAATACCGCTTGTCAAAACAGATTATTTTGAAAGCATTATGAAATGTGATGGTTTTTGGACCAAAGGGTGTTTGTTCTTCAAAGTACTTTGCTGTTCAGATCTAATTACTTTCAAGTTAAAGACCATCATATTAGAAAAGACTTGAAGAGCTCTCAAATGTCTGTTTTCCCAAGTAATGGTTTCTTTAACAGAAATTGATTTGAATAGGAGTAAAAACGTTTTGAAATTCCAAAATAGGAGTATCATGTTTTTTATTCCCTGAATAGGAGTAAATTTCTGCCAAGTTTGGCATTACAAGGCTTTTAAACATGGCATTTTCTTCCAAACTTGGCAGATTACTCCTATTCAAGGAATAAAAAACATGACACTCCTATTTTGGAATTTCAAAACGTTTTTACTCCTATTTAGGGAATTCCCTCTTTCTTTAAAACAAAAGTATTAGTTTTGAGCTGAAAAGAGATATTGGTCTCACAGGTTGAGCTCCTCAAGTTTTTGTGATTCATTTGTCCTAATATGCTGCAGTGTGAACAGAAACTAATATACTCCTATGTAATGCAGATTCAGAAGATGAAGACTAGTTGGGAGATGTGTTTTCTGACTCCTTACCTTACTTACATGATATAGCCAGCAGCCTTTGTTGGAAGATTGGTTTAACACTAGTTGTGTTGTTGTAGGTTTTTGGCTCTTCTCCCTCTAAATAGTTGACACTTCAATACTGCGAATGGTTCCTATCTCCTCCTTTAGATAAAAAAAAAAAAGGAAAAATTGACTGACAAATGAAAAACAGTTACTTGTGAATGGTGCGCTAAGATCCCGTTTTGGGGTTGCGTTTAATTTCTTGTATTGCATATTGAAAAGGTATATGATATTGATTGTATAATGAGCAAAAATTACTTGTACTGATATTATTAATGTTGATTTTGAAATCTGCACAAAATACTCAAAGTACTTCCTAATTTTCAAAAATTCGGCTCTATATACTCCCTCCGGTTTTTAATAAACTTCACACTTTCCTTTTTGGGACGGTCTAAAATAAACTTCACAGTTCCTTATTTCCTTTTTTGGCAAAGAAATCTACATCAAAACAGTGCCAAACAGTGCCAAACAGTGTCTCAACAGTGCCAAACAGTGTCTCTACAGTGCCAAACAGTGTCAAACAGTGCCTCAACAGTGTACTCTATAGTAAAGTCAAATTTCTTTCCTTATTTTGTGTGAGGTCAAACTGTGAAGATTAAAAGAAACCGGAGGTAGTATAAAATATACTCCGTAAAAAAGAGTACTGAAAGTGGCTGAAAGTGGCCAAAGGGGGAAAATATTAGGGCCTGTTTACTAATAGAGATATTTTCCAATTTTTCAGAAAACTGGAAAACTGAAAACCAAAAAACAGAAAACGTGTTTACCAAAAAAAAATTCTGGAAAACTGGAGAAAGAAAAACAGAAAACGCGTTTACCAAATCGTTTTCCAAAATCAAAAAAATGAGATATGTCTCTGTTTTTCTTAATGAATTGTATTACCATTTTTCCAAATTTAGAAAACGCAGATGTTGCAGTGCCACTACAATGAATTTGCATACTTACGCCTAGTGTTGGATACGGTCCCGCTCGGTGTCAGTTCTAGTCTGATCCGGTCAAAGAATCGACGGTCCCTATCTGGTCCAGTCATCAACCCGGCGGTCCGATCCGGTAATTGACCCGGCGGTTCATGTCCGGTTCGGTCAACGACCGAGCAATCCCGGTCCATTCCGATTGATGACCCGACGGTGCTGGTCCGGTTGACGACCCGATGGTCCCGGTCCGATCGATGAACCGGCGGTCCCTATCTGGTCTGGTCCGCGACTCGACGGTCCCTATCCGGTCCGGTCCATAACCCGGCGGTCCCTATCCATTCTGGTCCATGACTCGGCGGTGCATGTCTGGTCCAGTCCACGACCCAGCGGTCCCTGCCCGGTTCGGTCGATGACCCGACAGCCCATGTCATATCTGGTCCACGATGAGACGGTACTTGTTCGGTTTGATCAACTTCGGGCAGTCAAGGTCGGATCCGGTCCGGTCAATGACCCATCGGTCCCCGTTCTGTGCGGTCAACCACCCAATGGTCCTCGTCCTGTCTGATCAA